CAGTACTGATAGCTGTGATCAACTCCAGATCCTTCCCTGGAGCCTGGCAGATCCAGTGCATGCCATAGCTACTTAAGGTGAAAGCTGAGGCTGCACAGGAGAGTCCCAGGGATAGTTCAGGTTGTACCAATCCTCCCCCGGATTCCACCAGCTGCACTTCCACCTGGATACCTGCAAACATAGAGACATCCTGCAGAGGAAAGTGTCACACCTGTTCACATTTTATCTTATTCATGTCCTCTCATAAGCATAGACATTTGTTCTAAGTAATTCATCTTCCAAAACTGCAAACAGGAAAGCACCAATTAGCTCCAGCTCCATTGTGATATGTCTGTGCTCAATCCTGATCACAGAGTGGGAACAGCTGGGCTCCTAGACTCGGCATCCTGTATAGAGCTGCAGAGTCGGACCTGGGCTAGTTTTCATTAAAAGACGGAGGCCCTATTTGCATGGACTCCTAATACATAGACAGCTCTAGAGATAGACATATCAGACACAGCAACATCCACATCTGATATGAGTGTCCTGAGGAAGTTTAGTAGCAAAGAAAGTTCACTGGATTATGATATTTTATTATAATGTTTTGTCGTGTAATTACCTCTTATTTATTCTTGCTTTTTCCACTTATACAGGCCATCCTTTTTATTATAGATAATGCTGGCTTATAATCATCTCTTGTTCCACTTTTCCCCTAAAGTATTCATGTAACCATTTCCAATAATCTCTCTTTTTTATTTTTTATAATTTTATTGAGAAACAATTAGCAATGAGACAGTTTCAAACCAAATTGATAGGACAGTTTCAAAAATTAACACATTACATACATTCTTCCTACCAGTTAATTGCTGTAAAAGATGTGGACATGATATTCTATTTACAAATACCATTAGAACAAATCCCTCAATTCATTAAGTGAATGTAACTATATATCTATCCTAATCACTTTGAATACACAGATACAAAATGGACATTAATCTGTATACCCTTTTTCTGTTAAGTTCCGTTATTTCAATATTATAAGTGTATAAACTCAGAAAAATATTCTAAAAGAGTCCAGTAGCCCATAGTAGTATTGGGTCTTTCATCTGACTGGCAATGTCAGAAATTGTTCACCTCAGTTCCCTACAGCTCAACGTAACAGCATGGCTTTACTTCTTATATTTTGCTTTTATACTTTTCTGCTGGATGGTTAAGACCAAGGTAAAGCAGGACCTATGCAACAAGAGTTGTAGCTTGTGGGTCTGATAGTGTCAGTGAAATCCCCTCAGGATTTATCCTGAGATCTGTACCTCAGATTGTAGAACCTTTGTCAGTGTCAGCCATGTAGATGAGTCACTGCCAATGCTTGGCCAGTGTGCTCTCTGTGAAAGCCTGAGAGAATGTTTTCTCTCCATGTGACTCTCCTTAGACACACTCTACATCACCAATCACTTTCCTCTTTGGCCCCATAATCTGCTTGATCAGAAAATTTGGGACACAACCGAGTTACATGACATTACAGTACAAGTTGTCATAAGTCCTAAGACTTAATTGACCTTAGAAGGGTAGAACCAAAATGTTGGCTTTCCTTACAGCTCTCATTTCTCTCTAATTTGGTCTGCAAAATTAGGTTGTTAATCATCCAGAAGAAAAGCTTATTGTTATTACCATACAACTTAGTCTGGTAAGCTAAACTTTGCTATCTGTCTAAATATCAAACATCTTAGAAATAACATGGAACAGGTATTTTTCATCAAGTATTGATATGTTGAACTTTAAGGCCCTACAGAATGATACAAAATTTAAAAAATTATAATATATTTTAAAAATAGGCATAAATAATTATATACATCATATGTTTATACATAAGTCCAAAAAATAACCATATACAAACTCGAAGAAGGACAGTCCCACAATATTCCTTTTCCTGTCTCTTGCTTTCATTCACCACACCTTTTTTTTTGAACAACCATCTACCCGAGAGACAGCATAGCAGCAACTGGCATGTCATGACAAGCAGCCCGTATTCAGAACCAGAATGACAGGCATTCCAAACATGAAACTACTATTATAGTTTACCATCTGCAGCGCAGTTGCTTAGTTCACAGGTATCAGTACATATAGTTAGTCAGGGTGAGATTCTTTCCAATTAACTGCTAGATTCAAAAATCTTCTGGAGATTCTAAGGATCATTGCCTTGCCCACCTTCTACATATAACTGCATGGCTTGACATTATCATGTTTCCTAGCTCTTCTCCTTTCCCTCTCTTCATTAGTTAGTCTTCGAGATCCTGCTTTCCTTTTACTTGCATTATACATTTCTATTTGTATTTCTTCTTTTGAGTTCTTATACTAGGGAAACTATATATTTACACATGTGTGTCTGGTTTATTTCACTTATAAGTATATGTTCAAGTGGCATCCACTTCAATATAAAGACTTCGAGTTTATCATTCTTTATACCTGAGTAATACTCCATGGTGTAAAAATACCACATCTTTTTCAACCATTCCTCAGGTGATGGGCATCTTGGTTGTATCCAAGATTTGGCTATCACAAATTGTGCTCCTATAAACATAGGCATGCATATATCGCTATGATATGACGTTTTCAGATCCTCTGGGAAAATTCCCAGTAGAGGAATAGCTGGTTTAAAGGGGATTTCCAATCCAACTTATCTATGGAGTCTCCATACTGATTTCCATAATGGTTGCACCAGTCTACATTCCCACCGGCAGTGGAGAAGAGTTCCTTTTTCCCCACAGCCTCTCCAACATTTGTTGTTGGGTGATTTCTTTATGACAGCCATTCTTTCTGGGGTGAGATGATATCTCAATGTTGTTTTAATTTGCATTTCACAGATGGCTAGTGATGTGGAGCATTTTTTCATATATTTATTCGCTTCTTCAATTTGATCCTCTGAGAAGTGTGTGTTCATCTCAGATACCCATTGCTGGATTGGGTCTTTAAATTTTGGGGACCTAGCTTTTTTTAGTTCTTTATACATTCTAGCGAGCAGACCTTTCTCTGAGGATTTGTCATGATTTTTTCCAAATTTGTGGGTTGCCTTTTCAATTTGTTGGTAATTTCTTTTGATGTGAAAAAACTGCTCAGTAAAAGCTGGTCCCAGTTGTTAAATCTTTCAACAGTTTCCGTGAGATTTGATTTTTGTTCATGAACTCTTTGACTACCCCTATGTCTTCAAGAGTTCCTCCTACTATCTCTTCCGAGAGATTTACAGTCTCTGCTTTATTGTTTAGATCTTTAATCCATTTTGGCTTTAGTTTAGTGCATGGTGATAGACCTGGGTCAAGATTGAGTTTTTGGCATGTAGAGAGCCAGTTTTTCCAGCACCATTTGTTAAAGAGGCTATATTTCTTCCAGTGAGTATATTTGGCCTGTTTGTGAAAGATAAGGTGGCTGAGTGTGTTTGTAGGGGCTTCAGCGTCTTCTAATCCATTCTATGGTTCCTCAGGTCTATTTTGTTGCCAGTACCATGCAGATTTTATCACAGTAGCCTTGTATTATAATTTCAAGTCAGGAATTGTAATGCCTCCTGACTTGTCTTTATTGCCCAGGATTGCCTTTGGTACTCTAGGTTTTTTCTGGTTCCGGATACATTTTAGGAATGATTGCTCTAGGTTTGTGAGTTATGTCGGTGGTAATCTGACAGGGATTGCATCAAATCCGTACAACAATTTTGGGAGCATGGCCATCTTCACAATGTTGGTTCTTCCTATTCAGGAACATGGAATATCTTTCCATTTTCTGAAATCCTCTATGATCTCTTTTTTCAGAGTACTGTAATTTTCCTTGAAAAGATCTTTGACTTCTTTAGTTAAAAGAATACCAAGGTAATTCATTTTCCTCGGTGCTATTGT